TCTATCTTAACTACTAGGCCATGGGCTAGCCTGCTGGTTCTTTTTAAATAACAGCAAAATTGATAAACTTCTATTCAATCTAACTAAAATATTTATATATATATCATGCCAGGCACATGCATGTATATGCCCAAAATCCCAGGGGGAAAATGGAGAAAAAGGGATTGCATAGTGACTGTCCTCTCTAGGGAAGTGATTTCTCACTTTTTCTCTGTCTCTGGAGACCACATGTGCCCTACGGAAAAAACAAACAAAAAACTAAAAAAAGGACTAGCAGGTGGTGTGGTGGTTAAGGCACTGAATTCCTACATGGCTGACTGCAGTTCAAGTCCCAGACCTGGCAGTTTGTGTGTGCGCTCTCTCTCTCTCTCTCTCTCATGAGTGCATGCCTTGTAGAAAATTTAAAAATATTCCATAGTATATGGGACCAGCAGGTGGAATAGTGTTTAATTTAAGGCACTGGACTCCCATGTGGTCAACTGCGGTTCAAGTCCTGGACCCAGTGGCTTGAAACTCACACCAAGTGCATGTGCACGTGTGCCCAAAATCCCAAGAGGAGACTGGGGGATAAGGGATTATGGCGTGGCCATCCATTCTGGAGGGGCGATTTCTTGTTTTCTGTTTCTCTCTCTGGTGAGCATACACGCCCTATAGCAAAAATCCTTCAAAATTAAAAAATTCCATAGTATGTATGTTCTATACTTTTTCATTAAAATAATAATGATAAAATAAATCTAAAAAAAAAAGACAAAAATAGAAGAGGGACAATCACTACTGATTCCCTGGACTGTGAAAGAATAATAAAAGAATATAAACAACTCTGTGTCCATAAACTTGTTATCTAGGTGAACAGATTGCTTCTCACTCTCCTTTTCTGTCTGTCGCTCTCTGGTCAAAATTGAAGAATAATGATAGTAAGTACAAGTAAAAATAAATAAATCTTTTTAAAAAGAAAATAAATTTCTATAAAAAAAAAAAGACACTATCTACCAAAACTCACACAAAGAGAAATAGGCCTATGTGTTGTGTATTAAATAAATTGAATTAGGGAACCAGCAGTTAGCGTAATGGCTATGTCGCTGGACTCCCACGTAGTCGACCGTGGTTTGCGTCCCGGACCCGGTGGCTTAGAACTCAAGGTGGGAGTGTGTGCGTGCATGCCCAAGATCCCAAGAGGAGAATGGAGGAGAAGGGATTGCGGCGTGACCATCCCCCCTGGGGGGTGATTTCTCACTTTCTGTCTCTATGTCTCTCTCTCTCTGGCGAGCGCACGCGCCCTATAGCAAAAACCTCTCAAAAAAAAAAAAATGGAATTGGACTGACCCGTAGCATGGTGGTTAAAGGTGGCTGGATCTCACATGGACAACATGAGCGCTTGCCAGAGAGAAAGTGAATAATTGCCCTTTAGGGGAGATGGCCACACCACAGTCTCTTCTTCTCTGTTCTCTTCTTGGGATTTTGGGTTCACACACACATGTACCTGGCATTTTTTTCAAACCACTTGGTCTGGGACTCAAACTGCAGTCAGCCATGTGGCATCTAGCACCTTAAACACTATGCCACCTGCTGGCCCCAGATAAAGGATAATTTTTTAAATTTGTAAAAAAGCTTTGTTGCATTAGCAAAAAAAAAAAAAAGAAAGAAAGAAAGAAAATACAAATTGAAATATATGTGAAAATTAAAACAGTATTTTAGTAATTTTATTTAATAAAGACAAAACTAACAACTTCAAACATTATTACAATGTCGTAAAAGGCAATCCCATTCCTTGCTGAAAAATAATTTGATAACTTTCTGGAAGGCAATTGGTAAATATGAATTGCAGTGTTAGCTATCATCCAGAATGGCTGCTTTTAGGAATTTGACCATAAGAAGTAGTTGACGATGGCTACAGATACGTGTTTAAAAGTAAAAGGTTTCTTTGGGCCAGTAGATGCCATGGAGTTGGGGGCAGCTGGATCCCACAAGTTGCTAGAGCAACTTGATGGAACTAAAAAGGGCAATTTAAACATTTCAGAGACAATATAGTAATTTGGAAAAGCTTTTATTATAAAATGAAAGTTGAAAAATCAGGATGTAAATTAGTATCTAAATATCTTGAGGGGCTAGCTGGTAGTGTGGTAGTTAAGCCGCTAAACTCCTACATGGCCAACTACAGTTTAGTTCCCAAACTTGGTGGCTTGCTTTCTCACTTCACCTCTCCTCTCTGGTCAAATTAAAAAATAATAATAAATAAAATTAAATAAAATAATTCTTTTTTTTTTGAGAGAGAGGTTTTTGCTATAGGGCCATGAAGACAGAGAGAGAGAGAGACAGAAAGCGAGAAATCACCCCCCAGGGGGGATGGCCATGCCACAATCCCTTCTCCAATCTCTTCTCGGGATCTTGGGCATGCCCGCACACGCCCCTGGCGTGAGCCCAAGCCACCAGGTCTAGGACTCAAATCGCGGTTGACCACATGGGAGTCCAGTGACATAGCCATTATGCCAACTGCTGGTCCCAATAAAATAATTCTTTAAAAATAATATCTTGAGTGAATTGAAATAGATGCAACAGATCAATAAAAAAAAAGATATACTTGGGTATCTGGATATTTGGGTGTGGGAGTTACATTTTTATTTATCTTCTGAGAGAGAGAAGGAGGGGCACCCCAACAGAGTCTTCACACCCCGGCTTCTCTCAGCCTCAGCCAGCCAGGATGGTGGGCACTTGTGTGCACTGAGCATGTACAGGGAGGCCTGAGACACAAACCCAGGACCTTGTCATACAGGTCCAGTGTCACAGTGCCATTGACTGGGTCCCATGGAAGGTATTTCTTTCTTGTTTGACTTATCCATATTTTTGCTATAATGGTATGTGATATGTAAAGCTCAAGTAGGAAGATAAAAACAATTAGCTCAAGTAAGTGGCAAAATTTGGGCTTTCTGGAACTCTAAATAAACCCTCCACTTCTTGTTCCAACAACAGTCTTATTTTCCCATCAGATATGTTCCTATCAAAGTCTCTGTTGTAGAAAGACTAAATAGCATTAATATTCAGGAGGTGACCTGGCACTCACAACCGGGTTGTGGTCTTTTCCTCGTGAACAGAGAATTTCATAGAAGGTCAGTATTGGATAAGGCCACTCTGTGTCAAATGCAGCAAGACAAAAGAAGACCTTTTGTAATCATGTCTAAGCACAAAAACGTAACTTGTCCTATCCACAAAAGGGAACAAATGTCTCCTGTGCTTGCTGACATGAGTGACTGCTGCTTCCTTGCCAGTCACAGCTTTGGCCTTGGTATGTATAGTAGTCTTCCTTCCTTTTAGACAAAATAAGTTACCTAATCAGAACTGTCCCTACTCAGTAACAGCTAATACAGAGAAAAGACCTAGTTTCTAATTCTTCTTCATATCACATCACGAAATCCTGAGTCTTACAGTAAATCCTCTTAATTACCCTCTTATCTAGACACCTCATGATTCCCCAATTTTTCCTTTTTATAATGCTAATAAACCCAATGTATTCAACTACACCTGTGTTTCTAGTAGCTTTTTAAAAATTATTATTATTTTTTTTAATTTGACCGGGGGTGCGGGTGAGGGGGAGTGAGAAAGCAAGCCACCAGGTCTGGGACTCGATTCGTGGTTGGCCATGTGGGAGTTAACTGTCATGCCACTTGCCTGTCCCTAGTTTCTTTTTGTTTGTTTTTTTAGGAAAAACATTTATAGACTAGGGTTTATTGATTGTTAACACTCATCATTCCATGAGTTCATAGGGAATAGATTCCAGTAACTCAGGTTCCTTTCCATTGGTTCTCACAAAGTGTGCTGCTCTGGGTGGAACAGGCTGACATTTTGGTTGAACCCAGTAACCTTTCTCTCTGGCATCCTTCTTTTTCTGGTCATTTTCCTTCATATGTTTTAGGGAAGCTATCTCTGCTCTTAGAATGCTTAATACGCTCAATACGCACATTAATTCTCTTGGTGAGAATCTTGCCCTTGTTTGTTTAAACAGTGCCAACAGCATGCTGGGTAACACTGTAGACTCTTCCAGTTTTGCCATGGTAACATTTTTGGGGCGTTTTTGAACAGCCCCCATTCCCTTGATGTCTACATCTTGAATCTCTATCTTTCTTGTAGATTTCAATGTATGTTGCCAAAGGAACCTCTCCATGTTTTCTAAAAGAACATATATTGGGTGTGTTCATCATTTTGGTGGATTACTGGAAGATGGCAGTTCTGGCCAAAGGCTTTGGTAGATTTTGGTGAGAGGGCATTGACAACAGGAATGTTCAAGCCATTTGATTAAAGGCACTCCCATCTTTAACTTTAAGTCTGTATTAAAAGTTTTGTTCTGGGGCCAGCAGATGGCATAGTGGCTAAGTTGCTAGACTCCCACATGGCCAACTGCAGTTGGAGTCCCAGACCTGGTGGCTTATAACTCATATCAGGTGTGTGTGCACGCGTGCCCAAAATCCCAGGAAGATAGTGGAGAAGAGATTGTGGCATGGCCATCCCTCCTTGGGGGATGATTTCTCACTTTCCCTCTGATTGTCACACAGTGAGCCCAGGTACCCTAAGGCAAAAACCTCTTTAAAAAAAAAAAGTTTTGTTCCCTCGGGGCTAGCAGGTGGTGGTGTAATTAAGACACTAGATTTCCACATGGCCAACCACTGTTCTAGTCCTAGATATGGAGACTTGAAGACAGTAATGAGCATGTGTATGCATGCCCAAAATCTGAGAGGAGAATGGAGGAGAAGGGATTGTGGTTTGGCCAACTCTCCAGGAGCTGATTTCTCACTTTCCCTCTCTTTGTCTCTCTCCAGCAAGCACATGCACCTTATGTCAAAAACCTTAAAAACAAAAAAGAAAAGGAAGGAAGGAAAGAAAAAGGCTAGTTCCTTCAAGATAGAGGGTACATGTCTCAGAAAAGACAAATGCTAAGTTTCACACAGTAGAAAAAGCAGTCAGGATTCTGTAGGAAATTAGTTCCCTCTATGATTTTTTTCTAGTCCATATCATTGAGTAGAAAATACTTTCATAGCAATCACTTTTCCAAGAGCCCCTTTCATGTCCCTGTTCCTCAGGCTGTAGATGAAAGGGTTGAGCATGGGGGTCACCACTGTATACATCACAGCGGCTGCTATATCTTTGTCTGCTGAGTGGGGAGATGAGGGGTTAAAATACAGAGAGATGATGGTGCCATAGAAGAGGAAAACCACAGCCAAGTGGGATCCACAGGTGGAAAAAGCCTTCCACCTTCCCTTTGTGGATGGGACTTGCCAGACAGCATAAGCAATACGAATATATGACACCAGGATGAAAACAAACGGAGCGACCATTATCAGCCCTGCCTCAAAAAGAATCATCACTTCATTGAGGTGCGTATCTGAGCAGGAGAGTTGCAGGAGGGGGGTCACATCACAGAAGAAGTGAGGGATGGCATTGTCTGCACAAAATGAGAGTCGAGCCATCAGCAGGGTGTGCAGTAGCATATCCAGGATGGCAACAACCCACGATCCCACCACCAGCAGGACACAGAGCCGAGGGGTCATCTTTGTTGTGTAATGTAAGGGGTGGCAGACTGCAACAAAGCGGTCGTACGCCATCACAGCCAGGAGGAAATTGTCCATGTCCACAAACACAAAGACAAAGAACATCTGTGTGAGACACCCGGGGAAGGAGATGGTCCGCGCCCCGAGCACGTGACTGGCCAGCATCTTGGGCACAGTGGTGGAGGAGAAGCAGACATCCACGAAGGACAGGTGGCTGAGGAAGAAGTACATGGGGGTGTGCAGGCGGGAGTCTGTGGCCACGGCCAGCACGATGAGCAGGTTCCCCAGGGCCGTGGCCAGGTACATGCTCAGGAAGAGCACGAAGAGCAGCTGCTGCTGCCGGGGCTGCCTGGAGAGGCCCAGGAGGAGGAACTCGGACACGCGCGACTGGTTGGTCCCGCTCATGCGTCTGAGCCCAGATGCAGAGATCTGAAATGCAGAAGCTGAAGCTCTGGATTCAGGAAGTCAAGCTGAAGCCCTGGTCATGGTAACAAAACCTTTATGAGAGTTGTTACTCAGTCAGAATATGTCTCTAATTCCTACTCCCCTACTTCCCACTCCCAGTCCTAAATGGCTGGTCCCACTGGACTCATTACATTAATTCTGTGAAAGATAACAGAGACTATACACAGACATATACATAGCCCTCCTCTCTTAATATCCCATCTTCTCCCACTCTTTAGTAGCTCATAGAAGAGAAGCAACTGGTTATTAGTGTGTTTATCTCATGTTCAGCTGATGGATTCAGGCCTTTAAACAAAAATAAAAAACATTATTTATTTGTTGTGATTTCAAGCCACCAAGTCCAGAACTCAAACCAGTCAACCATGTGGAAATCCAGCACCTTTACCACCACACCACCTGCTGGCCCTGGATTCAGGACTTTGACTTTTACTCCTGGATGGGAAATATTTAGCAAAGGAAATTCACGAAACAAGTTCACTCATCAGTAAAGAAAAATTAGCTTCTCCACCACTACAATATTACCTGGGAGAAATTGGTGCTGTTGCTGTCACCCTGGAGGAACTGGTCCATGTGCCTCTTTATCTAAGGATTGCAAAATCTTAGAGACAAATTCTGAGTGAGTGAAGAGTAGGTGTTCATGGCTTTAGCCCTCTGAGCAGGAAGGATGTTGTGAGAATCACAGCCAGGTATTTACAGGAGCTCCACAGCCATTGGGACTAGACTCCCTGAGAGTCTCATTACAGATGAGCAGAAAGTAATTGTCCCACCCATTTCCAGGTCCCTGTGCACCCAACAATGATGATGAAGAACATTATACAACTTCCAGAACTTGGAGCAAAACTAATCTGGATGACAATAAAGACGAAAGAAAATTCTCTGAACCTCCACATCTTATCACCTTGTTAATAGGGACTTCCATTCATCTGTTTGAAAAGTCAGGTTTTTTTGTTTGTTTGTTTGTTTGTTTTGAGAGGTTTTTGCTATAGGGTGTGTGCACTCCCCAGACTGACAGAGACAGAGAGACCGAAAGTGAGAAATCACCCCCCAGGGGGGATGGCGACGCCGCAATCCCTTCTCCTCCATTCTCCTCTCAGAATCTTGGGCACGCACTCACACATGCCCGGCGTGATTTTTAAGCCACCGGGTCCGGGACACGAACCGCGGTCGACTACATGGGAGTCCAGTGACATAGCCATTACACTAACTGCTGGTCCCAGAAAAGTTAGTTTTTTATTTATTTATTTTATTTTTTTATCGGGACCACGAAAGACCCTCTGTCCAGACTTCACCCTCCTGTCCCCGAGATCTAGCCAAGGAGCCAGGATAAGCCAGTCAGCAGCCATCTGTATTTGAGTTCTGAGTGGCCCCATTCAGGGACCAGGACCACTGGAGACCCTCTGCCTAGACTTCACCCTCCTGCCCCTCAGTCTAGCCAAGAAGCCAGAGAATAGGGGACTCATGGAAATGTCAGATAAAGAATTTAAAATAGGGACCAGCAGTTAGC